TCCTCCTCCTCCTCCTCCTCCTCCTCCTCCTCCTCGCCCCGCCACAGAAGCAGGTCATAGGGTAGAACGAACACCCGAGGCCAAACTCGCGAACCGACGGATTTCAGAATTTTGTTACGAGTCGGAAAAATATGAATATTCGTTTTTGGTACTCGTTTTACGGAACATGTACTGTCAGGGACTGCATTCCATTCTCAGATCGACAGGTTTTATAAAATAATTGCTGGTCAGAACATAACCTCTCGTTTTGGTATTAAATTGTGCCATTCTTTATTTATTTATTTTTTTATTTATTTATTTTTTAACGGGACTAAAGTATTTTATGAATAGTTTATGAATTCACAAAGACGTCCTATAAGAATACAGTTACGAGAAAATATACAAATAGACAAAAAAAGTATGTCTCAACGTACACCTTAAAAGGCAATGACGATTGTTAACTTACCTACCCACTTACCCACTTACCCACTTACCCACCCACCAGTCTACTCAACCAACTACCCACTCAATTAATTACCCACCAACCGACGCTCCCACCCACTCATACCCACTCACCCCCCCCCCCCCCCCTCCTCGACGCACACAACCGGCTGACTACCTCGCGCATCGATATTACACAGACCAATCTCTCCGGAAGGGATTGAGGGGAAGTGAGGGGAACGGAGAGGGAGGGAGGGAGAGAGATGCTTCGTTAGAGAGATAACGTCAAGATATTTAGGGAGGGAGAGGGAGAGGGAGAAGGATGAGGGGAAGATGAGAGTGAGAGAGAGGATGGATGATGCAGGTGGATGGGAGGGGTGGGGGTGGGGGGTTGAGAGGGAGAATGGGGAGAAGGGAAGGAGATAGGGCTAGGGAAAATGTTAGAGAAATTAGGCAAGATGACGGAATGGGAGAAAGAGAAAAGCGGAGAGAGAGAGAGACAGACAGACAGACAGACAGACAGACAGACAGACAGACAGACAGACAGAGAAACGAAGGGCTACTCTAATTGGAGCGCCTAGGATCCCGTAGTGAGACAGAGAATGGCCCGAGGAACACCCCCCCCCCCCCCCCCCACCCCGGAGCGGTTCCAGCATCCCGCTGCTTTCCGGCGAACAGAAATCGGGATCCTTGGAAGTGTGTTTCCGCCGGAGGATGCTGATGCCTGCGATAATGGTGGCCTAATTGGAGATCCTAATATCCTATCTGAAGGGGTTTGAGGAGGCCCGGGAAATGCTTTTGTCATCGAAGAATGAAATCGTGCGAACAGGTGAAGCATATTGGGCCAGGCTTTACTAGAAACCTTTTTTTTTTTAAAGGGTAATGCTCAAGAATGAAGCTCCATTTTCATTGGATGATTCGATTAGGGGCGTTTAAGCTTGTTAGGTGAAGCTAAGAGGTGATTTTTTTCTGACGCTAAGAGGTAGGTCTTCAGTGCGTAAGCTTATAGGGCGTTTTCGGAGGGGGGGGGGATGTGTTTATCCGATGGCTTTGGATAGGAACAGCTGGTGTCCTAATGTTAGACATCCTCGTGAGAGAAATTAGTGTCCTTTGCATTAATTTTTATCGGTGGACCATTGCATAATGGTTATGAGTTATACATGTAGATATCCTCATTTGCATAGATATGTTCTCATTTCATTTAACGCCGCAGTTGGCTCTCCATACTTCTCTGAGTGATGCCGACACATATTGTACATAAATGCAAACGCGCCAGCAAATGCCGACGTAGATAGTTTTAACATAGCCATATACATACATGCGCACACTCACGAACATACATACATATATACATACATACGCACACAAATACACAACTACACGTGCGCAAGTATACAATACTTCTCGTTCTTGTGTTCGTATTCGACCTACCTTTCTCCCTATCTACCCCTCCCTCTCTTTCGCCCTTCCCTCCTTCCCTTTTCTCACCCCTTCCGTCCCTCCTTCACTCCTTCTTTCTCTCTTCAACCCTTCCGTCACCCACCCCCTTTCTCACCCCATTTTTCCCTTCCTCCCTCCTTCCCTCCCTTTCCTCTCCCTCCCTCCTCCTCTGACGTGACGACAAGCGCACCCATGTGTCAGAAGCAGTTCAAAGCTCAGAGAATAAAATAGGAGACAATAAATTCCTCATAAAAACTCGAGTGAGTGTCATCGAAACCTCACTAAAATCATGCATCGGGTGACAAAGGAATACTAAAATACACATCAAAATGATTAAACTCGTAATGGAAGCGATAACATCCGGAAATAAAATGATTTTCTCCTCACGCGGTCCGAGGTTACGGAGGGGGCATCCGCTTTGAGGGGGGGGGTGGGGGGGGGGGGGCAAACAGCATCTAGAGTTTGTGACGCGAAACTGAATATTTAGAGTGTGACGCGGAACTGCCCCTCTGTAGTTAATGACAGAGCAGCCCTTTCTAGATCTCGTGACGCAGAATTGAATTAGATCATATTCAAAACATTTTCCTCTCCTCATACCATTTTTTTCTCACTCTCTCTCTCTCTCTCTCTTTCTCCCCAG